AGCCTGGTCTACATAGTGAGTTCCAGGACAGCTGGGACTACAGGGAGACCCTGCTTCAAAAAGACAAAAAAAAAATTTTTTTTTACTTCTTATTTTTACTTTTTATGTATGAGTGTATTGCAGGCATGTATGTAAGTGTCATACAGTGCCTGTGGAGGTCAGAAGAGGGTGTCGAATCCCCTGGAACTGGAGTTATAGATGGTTATTAGCTGCTCTTTCGGTGCTAGGAATTGAACATGGATCTTCTGCAAGAGCAGCCAGTGCTCTTAACCACCAAGCCGTCTCTCCTGCCTCTTCTTCTGACATTTTGTAGATGACACGGAAGCAAATGACAAGTCAGGGAGGCTCCTGAAGCTTGTTTTCAACCCTTTCTTTTCAGACTTACTGTGGTTTTTCTCTGGGACTCTTGCTGTATGGGAATGAGTAGATGCTGAGGTAGGGGTCTAACCCTGATTTCTTATGAGCTGCTCAGGCCTCCCACTTTGAATTCTCTCCTACAACCTTGCTCCCAGCCTGGCCTTTCTCTCTATCCTCTGGCCTTCTCACTGCAGCCTAGGCTGTTTTCAAATTAGCCTGTGATAGCCAAACAGAAGCAATGGGGGGTGGGAGTGAATTATGAGAAAGGCCTTTACTTGTTGAGTTCAAGGTAAGTTAAGCTCAGGGAACAGGGCAGAAAGTGAGCCCTCCTGCTGCTTCTGATGCCCTGCATCCCTTCTGGCCCAGGGGTACGAGGGCTGCCGTGGTTGTAAGCGGAGTGTTTGGTGCCCACTCCTTGACTTATCTTGCCTTTCTTTTCCCTTCTACCGTCATTTTGACAATATCCACAGAGTTGAACTTGGGCCTGAGCCAGGGCCGTGTTCCAGCTCTCATCCTTGACCTCTCCTCAACAGTGTTTTCCTGGCATCCTTTCCCTGCCTGGACCTGTCCCCACTCTGCTTCCAGCTCCTCCCAGGCATCTTTTCTAATTGAGGCGGAATCCTGTAGACATTATAAATAGCCTTCTTTCCTTTCCACCCTCCCCTCAGCGTCCTCAGGCCACTCATTTTGGAATTTTTTCTTTCTTAAGCATAAGCTGTAGAGTTTGGCTTTTCCTTTAGACCCTCACCTCAGCTTAGGACAAACGGGCAGGGTGAGACTACTTCACCGTGAGACCTAGATCCTCTGTGCAGACTTGGGCATGATCGTCTTTTGTTTATTTGTTTTGAGACAGGGTCTCCCACTGGCCTGGAACTCACTATGTAGTCCAGGCTAACGTTGAATTCCTGGCAGTCCTCTTGCCTCAGCTTTCTGAGTGCTGAGATTACAGATGTGAACTTGTGAACTGCCACGCCCAGCCATGCTGGAATCTCTCTCTCTCTTTCTCTTTCTCTCTCTTTCTTTGTGTGTGTGTGTGTGTGTGTGTGTGTGTTGTGTGTGTGTGTGTGTGTCTCGTGTATTTATATTACATTTATTATTTATTTCTTTTATTGTGTGTGTATGTGTGTGTATATATATGGAGGTCAAAGGGCAAACTGCAGGAGTTGATGCTTTCTCTCTGTCACGTGGGTTCCAGATCAAACTCAGGTGGTCAGGCTTGGCAGTAAGTATCTTTACTCACTGAGCCATCTAGACAGCCCCAGGGATAAGTCTCCTTTCAGTTCTGCCAACTGTCCCATTGTTCCAATGAGGGAACTTGGCCAGTTTCCTCCATTGACTTGGGCCTTGGGCCCCACTTCTTGTCCCTTTTCCATTTACTGGATTTCTGATCAGAGCTATGTTAGTCTAGAGGGACCTAGGAGAGGTCATTTCTCTACAGATGTCTAGCAGAAGTGTTTCTCCCTTGCCCTTGTTTTTTACATCCTTGCTGTTGGGGAACCCTTCCCTGGATCCTAGGCCCTGCTGCTGTTGTAACCTGTTTCTTCTGCCCTGGGTGGTACTCTCAGTAGAGTATGCCAGAACCATGGAAATTAGAGAGAGGTTTGAACTGACCTAATCCAACGTTTTTCAGTAGGCATCACTGACATTTTTTAGGACAGTTCTTTTTTTTTTATTTATTTATTCATTTGTGTGTGTGCGTATGCACATGAGCATTCAAGTATCAAGTGTGTACCATGGTATACATGTGGAAGTTAGAGGTCATCAGGCTTGGCAGCAAGTGCCTTTATCTGCTGAGCAATCTTGTTGGCCCAGGACAGTTTTTGGATGTCAGGACATTTAGCATTTTTTTGGTCTTTTTGAAGCAGGGTCTCCCTGTAGCCCCAGCTGGCCTGGAACTCTCTATGTAGACCAGGCTGGCCTTGAACTCAGAGTTGCACCTGCCACTGCCTCCTGAGTGCTGGGATTAAAGGTGTGTGCCACCACGCTCAGCCAGCATCTTTTAGCCTCCAAACATAAGGTATTAGTAGGCCCCTCTCTGATTCATTGTGGCTGTCCAAAATATGCCCCTGCATTTTCAAACATCTCGTGTTCTACAGAGAAGTCCCAGTGAAAAGTGAAGAGACTTTTTCACATGTCAAATAGCTAATGAGTGGGAAGAATAGGCACAGATAGTCATTCTTTCACCTATCCATGGCCTTTTTGACTGTTTAATACAGATGGTCCCTGACTTTTTTCCAACTATGATATGAGAACTGTATGCATTCAGTAGAAATAAAACTTAAGATTTTGAATTTTGAGGATTGAGTCTGTAGCTCACTGGTAGATCACTTGCCTTGCATACATGAGGCCTTTAGTTCAGTTCCTAATACTGCCAAAATAAAAGCAGATTTTAATGGCCGGGTGTGGTGGCGCATGCCTTTAATCCCAGCACTTGGGAGGCAGAGGCAGGCGGATTGCTGTGAGTTCAAGGCCAGCCTGGTCTACATAGTGAGTTCAGGTCAGCTGAGACTACAGGGAGACCCTGTCTCAAAAAGACACATACACAAAAAAAGCAAATTTTAAATTGTTATCTTTTCCAAGGGTAGTGGTATGCTGTATGGTATCTGTTGACTGGTTGACAGAAAGCTACAGCTGCCAATCAGCCACCAACATGAGGGCAAACAGCTGGCATTCTAGCACACTGTGCTGTAACTCAGGGTCAGCAGCGTCATTGTTCTCTCTTTTTCCTTTCATTTCCTTTTCTCTCTTTTTTTTTATGATTTTTTTGAGACAGGGCCTCCCTATAGCCCCAGCTGGACCGGAACTCACTATGTAGACCAGGCTGGCCTCGATCTCACAGGATCCACTTGCCTCTGTCTCCAGAGTGCTGGGACTAAAGGTGTGTACCACCAAGCCCTGCATTTAAAAAATACATTTATTTAATTTTATGTGTGTGAGTGTTTGCCTGCATTATATGTAATGTATCACATGCGTGCAATGTCTGTGGAGGCCAGAAGAGTGTGTTGGATGCTCTGGAATTGGAGTTACAGATGGTTGTTAGCCATCACAGTGTAGGTGCTAGGAACCAAACCCAGGTCCTCTGCAAGAACAACCAGTGCTCTTAATTGCTGGGCCATCTTGCCAACCACTCCCCTGACCCCCTAGCTTTTTGTTTTATTTTTTATTTTATTTTATTTTTTTATAAAATATTTTATTTATTATTTTTATTCTATGTGTGAGAGTATATTGCCTGAAGGTATGTGAGTGCACCCGTGTTGTGCAGTGCCGCAAGAGGGCTTCGGATTCCTCTGGAACTGGAGTTAAGGATGGTTCGTAGCCACCATATGGGTGCTGGGAATCGAATCCGGGTGTTCTGCAAGAGCAGTCAGTGCTCTTAACCGCTGAGTCATCTCTCCAGGCCCTATTTTTTATTTTTTTGAGATAGGTCTCACTCACACTGAAGTCTAGGCTGGCCTGATACTCCATATTTAGACCAGGCTGGCCTTGAACTCAGAGAGATCTGTCTGCTTCTGCCTCTGGAATTAAAAGTGTGCTGGGATCAAAGGCATATATCACCATGCCCAGCCTTTTGTTTTCTTGAGGCCCAGGCTGGCCTTGAAATAATCCTGCCTTTGCCTCCCAAGTGCTGGGATGATAGGTATGCACTACCACACCTGGTCTATGTGATGACTGGAGATTGAACCTGCCAGCTGAGCTATAGCCTTAATCTTAGTCCAGTCTTTTTTGATGGAGGATGTTTTCAGTTTAGGGTGGTTTCACTGGGGCATCACCTATGGTAAATGGAGGAGCATCTCCATGTGCTGATGCCTTCAGCCCAAGCCTGCCATTCTGCAGCCAGTCTTCTCTCTTTGACCCACTGCCTCATGAGATGACTCTGGAGTTTTTCTTTTTTTTTTTTTTTTAATATTTTGTTTATTATTTTTATTTTATGTGTATGCGTGTATTGCCTGCATGTAGGTAAGTGCACCCGTGTCGTGCAATGCCTGAGGAGGATGGAAGAGGTGTTGGATCCCCTGGAACTGGAGTTACGGACAGTTGTTAGCTGCCATGTGGGTGCTGGGATTTAAATTCCCAGACTTCCCTGGGAGTCTCCTGACTAGTGTCCTTAGCCAAGGCCCTTCTAGGTGACTAACTTGACTGTCTTTCTCCCAGCCCTTTCTCTTACTTTTGGGGCTCAGTAAATCTTTCTCTTCCCTTCTCAGTGGTTCTTCCCATAAAGAGTAAATTTGATTCCCGTCTCTGCTTTTCTCCCTCCAGTATTTCATTATACAAACTTTCAGAGGCACAGAAAGGTTGAGAAAAGCAGTAGTGGGAACACCGCGTGCCCACACCCTGCATTCAGTAGTTGCTAATACATAGTTGGGTTTAATTGGGCCAAGTCTCTGTACATAGACTGATGTGGCTCTTTTTGAGTGAATTCTTCCCCTGCCTTCTGTGACCTCAGTTCACCTTCCTTTTGAAGATGTTCCAAGGTCCCCTGCTCCAGAGAGCTGAGGATGTTGAAGAATTGCTGCTGCCCTGAGACCTTGTGAAGTGAGATCATGTGTGGGGAAGGTGGGGGCTGACTGTACAGCTGGAGTAGACACATTCTGTCTCTGCTTCCTGTTCATGGCTCCTGACAACTCCTTAGTGATTGCAGCAGCTTTAGTATGCAGAAGGAAGGGATCTTCTCTAGACCCAACCCACAAGGAAGCTCTGTTGGGGCCTGAGCTGGGAGCTTGCACTTGATTCCTCCTTCAACTACTGTGCCGTTAGGGCCAGCTCTCCCTGCCTGTTGAAAAGGATTAGGGTCTCTTCTGGCCAGCCAGGAAAGGAATGAGGAGAGGAGTGAGGGAGGGCATGGGATGCAGTGCCTGAACTCCAGTTATAGCTTCAATAATTGACCAGGTGGCCTGTAGTCCACTTGTGGTAGTGGTGGCATTTGAGGCCTTCAGGGAAAGGGTTCCCTCTACCCTCAGCAAAGATGCAGAGGAGAAATAGTTGGGGATGTTGCTAGCTCAGTAGTGGAATTCTCACTTAGTGTTCACAGTTCTTGGGCTTAATACCAAGCACTGCAAACATCCACCCTGGTTATTCTAAGGGTTGTTCTAATTGGAGGTACAGGCTCAGATGAAAAACCATTTCCTCTGTGATTGGTACTTGCAGTATTATCAATCCCCATTTCTTGACATAGGGGAGACAGAATGTGTTTTATCAACAGCTGGGTGTCAGTCTCCATTGATGCCCTCATCATTCACTTCATTGAGTTTTGTTTTTTTTTTAACCTGTTTTTGAAGATACAAATAGTATTATCCTCATTTTACTGATGAAGAAACTGAGGCTTACAGAGAGGTGAGTGTATCTTGTTCAAGATTAGTGACTACTGAACAATAATAGAATTTGAATTGGGGCTTTTGGGCTCTCTTTTAAACTAAGAGACAATCTGATGCACAGATCAAGGGATCAAACTCCGGATCCTGGCAAATGAGACACTAGTAGCCAAACCTCCTCTAGGTTCCTAGGAGTGGCACACATGAATTGTTCTGCCAGGAAGGTGACTTCTTGCTCTGGCCCCGGTGCTGGAAGGCTAAGGAGAGCTTGCTAGGGTCAGGAGATCAGCAGATAATTTGGGGTAGTTGCCCTAAGAGGGGTGGTTCCACTCCTGAAGTGGGCCTGTTGCTAAGGGCAGGTCACTGGAGACGTCAGTAGTCTGCCTCAGTGCTCTGTGGGAGCCGGTGGCGTGGGTTGGAGTTCCATGTCAGGGCAGGTCGTCCTTCTGGCCTCTTGGCCTTAGGAAACGTCCCCACCCTGTCCGTAGAATACAGCAGCTGACCTCTGTGGGTTGAGGCCAGGGAATGGTTGGGCTGGTTTTTCCCAAGGATCAGGATCTGGATCGACTGCCTTTTGGCCATAGAACTGGAGTACACCCTGTTTCCAATACAAGAGGCCAATTGAATAGACTGGGTGATGGGCAGCTGTGGGGTATTCCATTCTGCTCTGCAGTCCTGGGTGGAGAGAGTGGATTGTGGGCCACTGGATGAATGTGGTTACTATGTACTAGGCCACAGTCCTCCCAGCTGGCTGGGGAGAGATAATGAGCAGAGCCCAGCTGGAGAGCACATAAAGGGTTGCAGACAGAATGCAGATGGGTGAGCCTGGGTGTGGACTCTTGGTAGCTCCCATGCACCTCTGACTTTGCCCCACCTGTCCCCACTTCTTTTTGGAGAAGGGAGGATCTGGAACTGAGCAAACTGAGACCCTGTCTTCCCACTCTGAAGGGAGATGAGCAGGACCAGCTTCTACTGGAGACACCCACAGGCCTTCATGTTGGTGCAGGAAGGTGTAATTCCTTTCCTGTTCAGGCAGGAATATTGGTGGGGTAAGAAGCCAGCATCCTAAGGCTTTTTAGGGATGAGTGGAGGAGGCCCCAGGGAGTGTGTTTTTTTGTAGGGCTGCAGGGGTGGGAGAATAGAAGAAAGTCTTGAGGGACAGTTAGACTAATTAAAAGGAATTAAGGAATCTCAGGTGATGCTAGGGCAAGAGGAGATGGAGTTGAGTCATAGCCACACTATTACCATGATATCTGATAGGCAAATCTTCCTAGATTTGGGGTTGCCACCCTGTCATGCCCAGGCAGAACCATGCAGGACTTGAAAAGTCCCAGAACCCATCACTCATCTCCCTTCTCTTACCTCTGTACTTGACTCCAGCCTGAGTGAAGGCTGGGACCTGGAGGGCCTGCTGTTTGTCTTCATTTTGACCTCTTTCCTCATGTTAAATGAAGGGTTTCCTTCTGCACCTCCCTGACTCAGCAATTAATGGCTGTGTTTAAGGTGAAGTAGAAATGACCTTGAGAAATTCTGTCTGTCCCATCCAGGCAGAATTGACTTCTGAGCCAGTCTCCTTCACACAGGTATCTGATGTTGGCACCTGATTGCTGCACGTTCTCTGTCCTCGATAGGTCTCCCGAGAAGGCTGTTGGATTTCCTAGTCTCATCTTTACTTCTCCCAGGAGGGAAGGCCCGAGGGTCATTCAGGGAAGGGATTCCCCAGCTTAGAGACCCCCAGTGAGCTTCCTGGCACTGCACCTCTGGGTCACCATGCTGCTCTCAGTCTCCCAGACAGTGGCTCTTTGGGAAGGCAGAAGCATCTCATCAGGTGTCCGCTTGCTCACACTGCCACTGTGTCCTCACCATCCTTGTTCTCCCACCTGCCTAGAACTTGGGAAGAGGATCATGCCTTCACGCCTTTAGAATCCTTTCCCTTTCAACCAGGGGATTTTGTCAGACCCAGAGAACTGGTACCTAGGCTACTTTGGACCCAGTTTCCAGGGCAGTAGCCATCCACCTGACCCTTGACTCCTGGCTCTTGCCCCACAGCTACTGGAGTACTTGGGGAAGGGCAAGAGCATCGTGGATGTGGGGCTGGCCCAAGCCCGGCACCCACTCAGCACCCGTAGCCATTACTTTGAGGTGGAGATCGTGGACCCTGGAGAGAAATGCTATATTGCTTTGGGGCTGGCCCGGAAGGTGAGTGCAAGTGCTGTGTTTTAACTTGTGGAGTTGCTCAGTTTGGGATTGTTGGGATAAGGCCAGGAAGCACTGGGGGAAACCCAGGCAGGTGGCTATGGAGGAAGGCCTTTGAACTGAGGTTGTTGGTATCTGTTGTGTAAGAGGACAGACCTCATGATGAGGACACTTGAGTGTCGTGAGTGTGCCACCTGGCCTGGCTCGGTGGCCCTGGCCATGAAGCCAAGCACATTTGTCTTTCTTACTCTCCAAAGCTCTGAGATCCTGGCTGTGGACTGCCAGCCCAATTGGGTTGTAGCCTATTCTAAAAGCCACTGATTCCCAGATTCTGCCACTGCTGTCTCCTGTCCTCTTTTGTGCATAGTGACAGGTTTTCTTTTATCTTTTTGCTGCAGGATTATCCCAAGAACAGGCACCCTGGCTGGAGCAGAGGGTCTGTGGCCTACCATGCCGGTGAGAAACTGCTGGGAAGAGGACTGTGGAGAGATAGGAGTATAGGGTCACCCACTTTCCTGCTCCCTCTTACATGGTCTCTCTCCCTCCCAGACTGCTCAGGCTCTCTTCATCTCTGTTTTACCTCCCAGCCTTGAAAGTCAGGGGTGCAGGACAGGAGCGGAAAAGCTGGGCCCAAACTGGACATTCCAGGCAGGCCTCTGACTTGGTTACCTTGTGCCCTTCCTGCAGATCTGCAGATTTCTCTTTTTTTGGTCTGATTTCCTGTAGGGCTTTCTTGAGTAGAAGACTGTCTTGGTGCCTGGTCTCCCTCTTCCTCCCGCTGCCTGCTTGCTCACCCAGCCCAGGGCCCCTTTCCTTTCTTCTGAGCAGATGGACATTATGTCCTTGTTTAGAACTTGGTGCCCTGTCCTGCATGTCTCCTATCTTTGCCTCCCCCTGGGGTTGTAGAGTCAGCTCCTTAAAGTATGTGCTCTCCCCTCCCTTCAACAGATGATGGGAAGATCTTCCATGGCAGTGGTGTGGGGGACCCCTTTGGACCACGCTGCTACAAAGGGGACATTATGGGCTGTGGAATCATGTTCCCCCGGGACTACATTCTGGACAGCGAAGGTGAGTGGGATCAGGCAGCAGCCAGACTACACAGGGCACCGAATGAGTGGTACCACAAGAGTTCGTTCATGTTTCCTGTCTCTTAGGGGACAGTGATGACAGTTGTGACACAGTGATCCTGTCCCCAACTGCCCGGGCTGTCCGGAACGTCCGGAATGTCATGTACCTGCATCAGGAAGGAGAAGAAGAAGAGGAAGAAGAGGAGGAGGAAGATGGGGAAGAGATAGAGCAGGAGCATGAAGGCAAGAAGGTGGTGGTAAGTGGGGTGCTCCTTCCGGGGTCCTGGGACAGGTATGTGGGGTAGCACTTATAGTGGGGGAGGAAAAGGCACCGTCTGAGGACGCCCTCGGGTGTCTCAGGTCACAGCAGTCTGAGAGCCCAGTCTATGATCGGCCCATTTTTCAGCCATAGCACGCCCTCTTGTGGTTGCTTCCCATAATGCCACAAGGGACTCTTAGAGCCCATGCTGGGACTTGGGGGTGAGGGGCTTCAGGCCTGAGGAACTGCAGCACCACAGTGAACGGACCAGAGCCCACCCTCTTCTCTTCACTGCCAGGTTTTCTTCACCCGGAACGGCAAGATTATTGGGAAGAAGGATGCTGTTGTACCTTCTGGAGGCTTCTTCCCCACCATTGGAATGCTCAGTTGTGGGGAGAAGGTGAAAGTAGACCTGCATCCCTTGAGTGGCTAGGGGCTTCTGCACAGCTGCCCCCCTCCCTCTGCATCTCCGCTCCAGCCCTCTCCCAGGATTTGTTCACCAGCAAGCCATGAGAAGGCATCACTGTGCCCCTGCCAGCCCAGGCCCTGATCAGGCTTCATCTTTCTGACCCAGTGTCACCTTTATCATTGGTCCCTGGGCCTGAGCCCCTGGTTGGATAGGAGTGGGCCTGGAGAACAGTATTGGTATACAGGATATATTACTTGCTTTGGTTGGTGGGCACCTGGTTCCCTTTTCCCCTTACTGGTCCTCTGAGGAGTGAACCCAGCTGCTATTTGGGCAGGGCACTTTGCAGAGGGTGAAGTAGAGGAGCCTGTCCCCTATTTACCACCTAGTTCCCTTGAATTCTTTTTTGTTCCCTGTCATCATATGAGCCAGTTGCTGCTGTTTACCCCTTGGCTGGGCTAGGGGGCCTGTCTTGGCCATCTCTCTCCTTTCACTAGCTGCTGTCTTCAGACTCCTCTAGGGTCCCCATTCTTTTCCTTGAGAGATGTACCCTCCCCAGCTCAGGCACTACAGAAGGCCTGAGCCTGGCTCCCTACCTGTCCACATATAGTGTGCTCAGTACGTATGTGATGAAGGGGCTGAGGCACTGGGATGTGTTAGTTGAATGCTGTGGTTTGTCCAGAGGAGCAGCTTGGCCCTTCATTTCCCTTTACCTGCCCCATCTGCCCACCCTGTGCCCCAGCTTGCTGCTTGTACCAGTTGACTGTTTTTGCTTCAGTGTTGGATTCTAGCGCCTACGTAGATCTGTCCCCCAAACCCTCCTATCTCTTCCCCTCCTCTCTGAGCCCCTCCATGTAAGAGGGGAAGAGGAAGCAGGAGCTGTTGGTCTCAGTTTGCACAGAGTGGGTAGGGCCATAGGGAAAGGGGACGTGCTATTGTGCTGCTGGGGCTCCTTTCGGCCCTCCCTTCAGGCTCTGCACTATGATGTATGAAATGTATGTACAGATCAGAGATGTTTATACAGCCAATAAAGACGGAGTTTCCGTATTTATCAGGATGGATGAAATCCTTCCCAGTGCAGAGGGTCAGGGAAAGCAGGTGGGGACAGATGGCCCCAGGGCAGCTGAGGGTCACTATTAGACTAGCAATGGGATGTCTGCAGGATGTCTAGGCATGTCTCTAGGAGACATGAGCCTTTCATCTTCCGCAAATTGAGTATCAGCTCCTCAAAAGTTTATAGAAATTCTTTATTACACAAAAATAGACTCTCTTTTTACTCTGTTCATGTGACCCCACTCTAATCTCTGCTCAGAGGGGAAAGAGAAGAGGAGGTGACTTGCTTCCACACCTCACACCTCTCCCCCCTTCCTCCATCTGGGACCTGCAGCTGGGTGGAGCTGGCAGGGCTGTTGTCCTCCAGGACAGATGTTCTGCAGGTAGAACTGTCCAGTTGCCCGCCAGGGCTCCATTGCTGATGCCTTCTTATCCCTCACACCCATCTCTGCCATCTGCTCACATGCAAGGTCATCTCATAGGCCCATCCACTTAGCTTAGCAGGCGAGGGTGGGAAGAGCAGTGGCCCAGGCTGATGGCACTCCCACTTTCTTAGGGGTGCGCACTGGCTCCTGGGGTCTCTGGGTCCAGGCCAGGGCAGTGAGGGCTGTGGAGTGCTGGGAGGATGCAGTGCTGATGTGGGCTCAGAGCTTGTGGCCTTCTTTCATTTTCTCTGGCCCAGTAGAACTTTGGTGATGAAGGTGACAATAGCACCTGCTGGTTGATCTGGGTCAAGCTCCGCAAACAGGTGACACACATTTTCCCAGGGGCTTCCTGGCTTCTTAGCCACAAAACCAAAGATTCTACAGAGACAGAGTTAGGCTTTCAGGGATGGGCCTTCACATCCCTTCCACAGGAGGATGTTGCTGGCCATCATGGGGTGGTTCATTCCAAGGCAGGAAAGGATGATGGAAGGGTTGAGCTCATAAGGGAGACTTACTTGGAGGTGGTCCCATCTGGGTTGGTCCATCTGCAAAGGGAGAACTTTGAATAAGTGCAGCCCAGGGCACAGCTCTTGAAGGGGGAGCTGGGGACAGGGCTAGGGAAACCATAGGCAGTGAGGGGGAGTATCACCTTCGGTCCTCAGGGTCAGTGCTAGAGAAGGTGATGCTGCTCACTGGGTAATGGCGGCGAAAGAAGAGCCTGTGAGGAGCAGGTTGAAGAAGGAAAGTCACATAGAAATCCAGGTCCCCAGGCTGAAGAAGATGGCTGTGGTTCTAGTACTAGCCATTCATAGGAGAACTGGAGTTCAATCTCTAGAACCCAGTCGATGCCCGATGCCCACTTGTAATTCCAGCCTCAAAAGGCAGAAATGGGGGATCCCAGGAGTAAGCTGGCTAGCAAGACGAGCCATCCCTGTAAGCTATGGGTTTGACTGAGACCTGCCTCAAAGAATAATGTGGAAGAGCAATGGAAAAAGATTCTTGATATCAAACTTGGGCCTCCACATACACCACATACATGTGCAGGTACACCTGCACACACATGCCCACACCTCTGCAAGCATGCGTATGCACACACATGCACACCATATACACATACACATGTAAAGAAAAAGTCCAGGCCCCTAAACCCCTGCCTTGGTAGGTGTCTAGACTCACTTCCTCTGGTTGTCTGTCAGTGTGATGCCTTGGGCTGAGACCTTGAAGTGGACAACTGCTGGTGTTGGACGGGGGCTGCAGCTCAGAGCTGCAGAGCTGGCCTTGGCCACAGCTTGAGGGCCAGTCAGTGACTCTGTCTCCACTGAGGACAGGTAGAGCACACTGCAGGCTAAGGGGGCAAGAAGTGGGTCGATAAGCAAGCGTGGCTTTGCCAGCACCTGATCTGTCACCCCTAGTTGTTTACCCCACCACCACGCGCTTTCCCTGGCTGAATGTGCTAGAATCACATAGCAGTTGAGTTAGAAAGATAACTCCCAAACTGTATACACTCTATAGCTGGGAACACTGGGAGGAAGCCTGAGGATCTGTAGTCTATAATTCTTCCCTCTGCCTCAGCTCTGATTCCTATGATTGTAAACCTTGAGAACCTAGGCTATGGCCCCTTTTTGTACTCCTGCAAATATGATGCTTCCCTACCTTTGTAGATTAAATGCATCTACTGGGCCCAACACCCCCAGGCCTTTCAGTGCCTTAACAGTGCCCTGCCCTGTACCTACAATTTGCAGTATTCTTTAGGAGGCCACAGAGAGGGGAAGAGGGGGACTTCTACCTGCTCCCTGACGAAGGAGGTCTGCCGCTGTGCTCATATTGGTGGGTACTGGGACCTCTGGGGCTTCTTCCAGAGGATCTGAGAGAAATGAGGGCCATCAGGGAAGGTCAGGAGGTAGAGGCTTCCCTAGGTGCTGGAAGGCCTTGGTCACCCTTCAGGAAGGTGAAGGGGCAGGAACTCTGTATTTGATTGCAGGGGTGGTGAGAGCTAGGGAGATAATCACCCACCTTTACTGGGAATGCACAGGCAGCAGGGCAGGGAGATGGGAGAGATGGAGTGTTGAGAGACAAGGGCAGACAGGCTGCCTGTAGGGGAAGAGGGAAGAAAGCCATCCTGAGGTCCCCACAGGTAGCCCAGGCATTCCCTCCCTCCCTCCTGAGGCTCCTTCCTCCCTCCCTCAACCAACCCCCTGAAACCATCTGAGGCTCTTGCTTCTCACCGAAGTAGGGCTCGCTGGGGCAACCCTTGATTTTCACCCCCTTGGGCCCTGTCTCAATGAGGAAATGGCGGACCAGCTGTTCTGAGGGGTCTCCTGCGAGAAGGGAGGAGTGAAAGCAAGGCTTTACTGGATTCCAGACCCTCAGTTTCTCCACTCTCCTGAGTAGCAAGGGGTCTTTCCTGCTCCTCCCTCCCCTACAAGGTGTACTCCACCCCCATCACCCTGTCTCTGTAGCTTCTCCCAACTGCACTTGTACCTGCTCCCTCAGCCTTGAGCATTCTACCTTTCCAGGGTTGGGCACTGGGTGGGGGTGTAGCCACCTTCAGAGCTAGCCCATACGCTCCTTGGAATGAATGGCTGTCCCTGATCAAGAAGGCTCCAGGGTCCTTGTCTTTCAGCAGGGCAATGGCTGCAGGATGGTGGGTAGGCGTGGAGGTCAGAAGTTTACAGGTGTCTGTCAGCCCCACACAACCCTACCAGAAAGCTCCCAAGACTCTCTCCCTGACAGCTGTGGGGATGGCAGTGGTCTGGGGGACAGACTTTAAATAGGAACTTTCACAATATTTAGTTTGACATCCCAACAACCTAGAATCACCTGCTTGTTAGCAACTCAGCCAAGAGCAAGCGAGCTGAGACAGGAGGCGCCTAGGACCCCACTAGGATGAGACTTACAGCCAAGGCAGTTCCTGGAGATGGGGTGGGATGGGCACACTACCTTGTCTCCTTGATCATAGGATTGGCTTCTCACCTTGGTCACGGGACAGGTGTGGTTTGTACCAGAACTTGGATGTGTCCTGGACAAACTTGACGTTGCTTTGGCTCTCTTGTGAAGGGGGCTCTAGGAGAGGGTGGGACTCAGTTCAGACCCCAGGGCTCCCCACTGTCTCTCTGGGAGGGTGGGTTGTTTCAAGGACACTCCATCCTCTTAAGGTTCTTATACCTGGGGATTGGGTGATATCTGGGAGAGGAGAGGCAAAGGTGACATGGTGGCTGGTGCTTCTAGCTGGTGGTGATGACTGCTCTAGGCCCCATGGTCCTGGCTGTTGCCCAGGCCCTGGCAGGTGGCGTTTTTCAGGAAGTGGAGGCTGAATGGGACCATTGGTATCATAGGAGGCAGCCAGGGGGAAGGCAGGTGTAGGTGAGCTCTGGGGTGGCTGTGGGCTGGCTACAAGCCAGGGCATCTGGGTAGGCACAGGAGTGAGGGGAGACCCATCTGGGCTGTCTGGGGAGCCCCTAGGGCCCTGCCAAGGGGCATGGTGGAGTCCAGGCAGGGTGGTTGGCACAGGGCCCCGAGGACTGGCCCTGTCAGAGTGGCCCCCTGGGCTCCTTTCCTGAGGCCAGCCATTGGGTGACCTGGGTGGGGAGGTTGGGGAGAGGGGGTTAGGGCCTGCGGGCTCAGGCCTGATGGCCAGCAGCTCAGAAGCCTTTCCAGTTCTTCCTTGGACAACAGGGGGCAAGGCCTCGCCAGGACTCAGTCTCTGAGTGGGTGCCAAGGAGGGGGACCTTGTGTCCTGCTGTCGGGTGCTGTAGGAGGGAAAGGCAGATGGTCAGAGAGCCCCTCCTTTGGGCTGCCAACACCCACAGAGCATGCCCAAGCTGCCCTGACCCTCTGTGTACCTCTCCTTGCCCTGGACTGGGCTACTGGTGTGCAGGGGCGTAGAAGGACCAGACAGCTCTGAAGAGGCACTGCACTGGGCATCTTGAGGAGACTGAGGCAGAGTGCTGTGTCCACTGGGGCCCTCCCTCCAAGAAACTGGCTCAGGTGACTCTGCAGTGAGCAGGAGAGAAGGACAATGAACAAGAGCCAGCTCTTTTGTCTGGCTCAGTTCCTTCCCACCCTGTGCCCCTTTGGCTTCCCCATCAGCTGTGGAGCTGTCCTCTACCCTGGATACTTCCACTCTAGTGTACTTGCCTGTAGATGCCAAAGGTCCTGCTGAAGCCAAGTGCCCAGGTGGTGGGTACTTGTCCCTTGCATCTTTTGCAGGAATCTCATAACTCAGTTTCCTGGACTGCAGGTAGGGTGGACTGCCCGGGGAGATGGAGCCAGCCCGTGGTGAGAGAGCAGCAGGGCTGGGATACCCTCTGCCCTCATTTGGTGATCCACAGCTGTGAGGTGCCCGGCCATATGCTGGGCAGTAGCTGGGAACTGCTCCTCCATAGCCATAGGTCACCAAGGCAGGGTACCCTGGGTGCCCATACCTGCCTTCAGAGCACACGGCATAGGAGCAGCCCTCGTGCCCTTCCTCGCCCACCTTGGATGGTTTCAGGCAGCTGTAGTCAGGCATTGGGGCATGGTGATGCCCACAGGTAGGCACCAGCAGAGGCAGTGGGTGTCCAGGCCGCACTTGGTGCAGGAGAGGCTTGCCTGCCTCACTGGCCCACCCTTCTCCAGCTTCCCTCTCCAGTCGCAGTCCATACAGGGCTGCTGTGGGCAGTACCAGCTTCTCCTCACAGGCTGGACATGAGCATAAGGCAGGTACTCCAGGGTCCTCCAGAATCACCACTTCCCGGTAGCCTGCTGAGTGGTAGCCAAAGTCCCCATTGCCTGGTTTTCCCAGCTCAGGTGCATAGGGGTATGGCCCTTCTGACAGAGATCTGCAGAGGCGTCTCTTCTCCATAGAGGCTTCTATGTAGCCTTGGGATGGGCCCTCATAGCCCCCATAGGGTAGTCGCCGTCTCTCCAGGGTTCCCTCAGGCCGGTAGTAGCCCCCATTGGGGACCCCACAAGGCTCTCGGTAGCCCTGGCGGCATGAGCAGTGGCGACTGAGGCCAGGCCTGTGGCTTGAATACATCCCAAGGTGCAGGCCTCCACCCACAGGGGGCTGCTCTTCATCATCTAGGATGGCTGTCTCTCGTCCAGCTCCCCGGCCTCCGCTGGCCACCCCACAGCCTCCCAGGAGACGGTCCAGCTCCTGCCGTTCAGCAGCTGTTGGGGGTGGCCGGCCAGGGGACTCTGCAGTGGGTTCTGGGGTCAGCGTGGATGAATGGCCAGAATCACTGCTGACAGAGAGCATGGGTGGTGGGTGTGGCTCTGGAGAGGGCGCTGGCAGGGTCTGGCGGGGGGCTCTCTGCACCTGAGCATAAGGACTGCCATCCAGGGGGCCACGTGTGTGGGCCAAGGAGCCTGAGTAGAGAAGACGAAGGTTCATGAGTGGGAACAGCACTGGAGACTCCAGTGTGCCTCTCTCAACCCCATGCCACAAAGCTGGGCCTCCCAACTAGCTCATCCCTTGCACACACCATCCATACTGTCTTCATGGTGCTGGTTGAAATTCTCATACGAGTCCCAGCGTACAGCAGGCTCTGTGGTATTATAGTCCACAGAGATGGATGGGTCATTCCGTGGGGTGTTGCCTGTGGAAACGCCCAGGTGTTAAGGCATAGGGGACACAAACCTTCAGGCCCCCCTCCAGCTCCCATTCTTACCTTTGATCTTCTCAGGGCTGGAGGAGAAGACAAACTCCACTGAGGCTTGGAAGGGGAACCGCTCATCTGTGGGGGAGGGGGTGGTGAGGAACCAGGCCCTGTTGGTACCCCCTTTCTGCCTATCAGTTCACTGGCCTCTGACTTACCAGTCCAGGCTTCATCCAGTTGGTCCTTGGGGAAGGTGAGCCGTGGTCCATGGATGGTACATGTGTGAAACTGAACTCGGAACACAAGGGTCCGGTCTGCCCCTTGGCCACCCTTGTGATAGCAGGTTACCTGGAGGAGGGCAGGAGGCTGGGGGTCAGGCCTTGATGTCCATTTTGCTTCTTCTGTGCCTTTACCCTAAGGACTGTCTAGTCACAGCTCATACTCTGTCCCAACCTCAAGGTGACTTCGGGTGGTGGGGATTCCCTTTTGGCCCTCCAATCCAGCTTGAACTGATGACTTTTTAGGTGACTGTGTGGCTGGAAGTTTCTCCCTTCCCACCATCCCCATCCCTAGGATTCTTCTTGTTGCTATGATCCCTTACCATGACATCGCCTTTGAGGAGAAGGGCTGGCTCCAGGCTGATGCAAAGCTGCTGGGGCCCAGGGCCTGCAATGTGACTGTGGGCACAGAGAAGGCAGGGACAAGTCAGAGGCATCCAGGGAGGGCACAAAGGTGGCTACGCACAGTCAGGTTGTAGGGATTGTCTGAGCCTCTGGCTGTCAAATGGGTTCCAGCGGGGTGAGGAATTAGCTTTCAGGTGCAGTAGCTAGAACCAGAAGGCCAGGCCCGGGAGGCTGGGAAAGCAGGTACCCAATAGGCAAGGGAGGCCTTGACAAGCAGGCAGGTGTTGGGCGTGGGAACACAGTACTCACTAGACTCCAGATGTGTAGACCAGCTGCATAGACTGGTAGATCTTGAGGAAGGGCTGGAAGCCTGGAAGGGTGGAAGAGGACATGAGGGGTATGGAGTGTAGTGGGAGGTGGCTGTCCCTGTAAAATACATCTCAGATGGACTCACCTGTGTTGGGCTCAAAGGCTGGCAGCATGGGCACAAACACGTAGTGCAGGAAGACAGGGCTGCTGTTCATTCTGATGGAGCCAGACAGCAGCCCGCTGAAATAGCTAACATACCTGGACAGGGAGTGTCAAGGAGAGCGTCAGCCACTTCCTCTAGAGGGTGCCCTGCAACATTTCTGCAATGCGTACTTTCCACCTCACCTAGGAAGGCCTCCCCTTCTCAGCGTTGCTCTTTCACCCTCTACCATCTAAACCCCATCATTCTCGCTGCCTCAGAGGTCTTGTATGTGCTGTCCCCTCTGCCTAGAATGCTCTTCTCCTAGACTTCTGCTTCCTAGAGGCCGGCCCTGCTTGTCCGCAAGTCTTCTTAATCACAAGGCTCTGCTTCATTTTCTTCATAGACCTTATCAACAGCTAGAATGACCTAGTCTATTTCCGCATGGCTTCTTGTCTTCCACTCCACTAGCGTGTGAATGCCACAAGAGCCTGACCTTGCTTGTTCTGAATTCCCAGAGCTTGGCACAGTGCCTGGCTTCCCTAGGCATTGTGGGATTCAGGTGTGCTGCCTGAGCCAGAGAATCAGTCCTCCCCCCACTGGGCAGCTCACCGGCGCTGGGAAGGCTGCAGTTCTGTGGCCACCTTGTCCTCACAGAATTTTCTCATGGTGAGAGTAGCCAGTGCCTGGTCTGCCCTGGGGAGAGCAGCGCCGGGGGGTTGGTTTAGGGACCAGTTCTATCCTAGCTCCCCATGTCTAAGCCCTAGGGAAGGGACCCTGGGAAACCCTGGGACCCCCCCTCAGTCTGGAGGGAGCCAGCCCTCAATGGTGGTTAAGAGAACTAGAAGCTCCACAGCATAGTCACTTTCCTAGTTGTAGGACCCCAGGCAATTGTTCCCTGAGCTTTACTTTTTTCATCTGTAAAATGGGACAGTAAGGCAATGTGATTGATGGGTTGAGTTGTGTCCCTCCCCCAGAGAAATGTACCTCAAATAAGAAATCTCTACAGATGTGATTAGTTAGGTTAAGATGAGATCATGCAGGAGCAAGTTTGGCCCTTAATTCAGGGTGACCAGTCCTTAGAAGAGGAGACAGAAACAGATGCACAGAGAGAACACCGTATGATGACTGAGGCAGAGGTTGCAGTGATGCTGCTGCAGGCCAAGAACTGGCAAGAATTGCCAGCCACCACCAGAAGCTGGAAGAGGCAAGGAAGGAGTCTGCCCAGAGTCACAGAGAGAGCAAGTCCCTGCTGACACCTTGATTTTGGACTTTAGAACTCTGAGACAATCATGTTATATTATTTTAAGCCAACTAGTTTGTGGCATTTTGCTATCACAGCTCTAGGAAACTAACCCAGCCCATCTGTTAAAGAGTTCTGGGAAACAAGTGGAAAATGGAGGTGACAACATCAAGCTCATAATGAGGGGCTCTCTGACCAAAGAAGGAGGCTCAGACAGGGCCAGAAGAGGAAGGACCATTGGAAGGGGAACAACTCACCCTGCAGAGATCTTGCTGTAATGCATATAGGCAGAGACAATGACCCCGAGCTTCCCCTTGCTCCCCTGAGAGACAGAGAAGCACGGTTGGATGGCCTGTGGGTCCCAGGCTAGGTGTTGCCCCAGCTAAGTGACCCCAAGGTCCCAGTCCACCTTGCAGTATAGCACAACCACATGCTGAGGGTCAGCACTGAGCCACGTCTCCATGGCTTTGCAGATGGAACACAGCTTGTCCAGAGGTGGGGCATGCAGCTCAGGCCAGCCGAAGTCCTGCACCTGGGGAAGTACAAAGCACACCTGTGGAGGTGACCAGGAACAGAGCCATGGACTGCAGGGCAGGGAAGACAGGCTAGATCGACCTGGGTGGCTCAAGTATGTCTTATATAGGAGGACTTAAGAGTGAAGTGGCCATTACTACTAAAAGGGGTCTTCTGGGTGGGGTTGGCTCAGCTGAATGGCCAGACCCGTAGGCCAGTTTCCTCTTACCTTAGGATTCAGGCGGGTAAGGTCATGCCTTTTCTCTGAAAGGTTGAAGAGCTGAAATAAAGGGAGAAATTAGATGAGGCTGACTTCAGACAAGCAGCCGAGCTGAGGGTGGACCCTCAGTAAGAATCTAGCTCTAGGACAGGGAGATTGTGAAGCTGGGCTCAGCTGTCACAGACCAGTGGGCAGCCAGCCAGGATTCACTGCTGACAGGACTCCAGCCAAGGCCTGGCCTCGTCTCGGCCCCGCCCCTGTACAGTGGCCCCTCCCCTAGCGACCTCATTCCCCGCCCCCATGACGTCACACAGTAGCCTCGCCCAGCTGCATCTTCCAGCCTTTTAATTGGTTGACTCTCGCCGTTTGACCCCGCCCCTCACCAGGTACTTGTCGCGGTGCTTGGATTGCAGCACGTGGGCCAGCTCGCGCAGGTGGGCCCGGTGTCGCTGCTCGTCTGGCCGCGCGGGGAAAGCTGCAGCCAAGATGCGCTCCGTCACATAGGTGAGGTCCAAGTCCCAGCGACGCTCCATGAGTGGGTCAAGGCTGAAGCTCCTGGGGGAGACGGCAGATTTTAGGGAACAGAGAAGCAGACGGAGCACTCCAGGAAGCCAGTGGGATGGGAGGGGATCTGACGAGTTCACGAAGGCCTGCTGGGTCCTGAGGGTGTGTGGGTCTGGAGGGGCGGATACTGCTTGTGGAGCACTGTTCCAGGGTGTTTTATTGGGGGCACTGCCATGAACTGTTGGGGGGGGCAGTGGAAAGTGGCCACGTGGAATCACCCCAGCGCTCCCACTCACCTGGGCAGAGTGCTGCGCTGCTTTGAGTGGTTCAGAGACTTGGTAGAGCCCTTGTGGAGGGAGAAACCGTGCATGGATCTCTTTGGATACATCTCTTCTAGGCTTCTCAGCCCAAAGTTCCACATACTTTTGTCCTCAGGAAAGAACTAGTGCCTCCCCCGCATTCCCCCCCTTATTCCCCCCTCCCCCTCGGGTCCCCAGCATCCCTTACCAGGTGCTCTATGCGCCTTACTGGGGCGGTGTTTCGCCTCTAGAGGGAGGAGGTGGGAGAGGAAATGGGAGTGGTTAGGGCTGAGACAAGGACCAGTCTGGACCTCAGGGACTGGGAGGGAAAGTCAATGTCCACTTCCTGGGGGAAAAGAGAGGACTCCAGCACCCCCCCCCCCATAGACCCTAGGGGACAACAAAAGAGTTGAGCGCGCAAACACCTTTTTTCCCCAATCAGCGTCCCTTGTGGAGGGAGAAACCGTGCATGGATCTCTTTGGATACATCTCTTCTAGGCTTCTCAGCCCAAAGTTCCACATACTTTTGTCCTCAGGAAAGAACTAGTGCCTCCCCCGCATTCCCCCCCTTATTCCCCCCTCCCCCTCGGGTCCCCAGCATCCCTTACCAGGTGCTCTATGCGCCTTACTGGGGCGGTGTTTCGCCTCTAGAGGGAGGAGGTGGGAGAGGAAATGGGAGTGGTTAGGGCTGAGACAAGGACCAGTCTGGACCTCAGGGACTGGGAGGGAAAGTCAATGTCCACTTCCTGGGGGAAAAGAGAGGACCCCCGCCCCCCCCCCCCCATAGTCCCTAGGAGACAAGAACAGTTAAGGGCTCAGACACTTCTTTCAGCTCATGACTGACCAATTACCACAATGCTCTCAGTTCTAGGTAACCTGGGAACCCTCTCTAAGACTACCAGACCTCTGGACACCCAGTCAGGCTCCTTGCCTTCCCTGCCCCATTCCAGAGCACACTCACCAGCTCCGCAGGGGGCAAGGCCTGACAGGACGAAGTCACCTGGAAGATGGGAGTAAGGGGCTGAGCTGGTGAAATGGGGTCCCTGGCTTGAGGAAGGTGGAGGGGCTGTTAGCTGATGAGCACAGGCTCCAGCTGAGGTTCCTCTATTTAAGGGAGCCTTGCTTCTGGCCCCTCAGTCCCCCACCCCTTAGGCCCCCTACTTGTTTCTCTTGGCTTTCAGCCCCCTGCCCACACAGACCCCCATTCATCCAGCTACAGGACAGGAGTTATATATAAAGCCATGAAGGCAGGCCATGGCCAGGGGTGGACACTGGCCTCTTTCACCGGGAGACCCCGCCCCTGGGCACACAGCTTCCTTAAGCTAGCTTGAGGCCGTGGGACCTGAAGGAGGAGGACCAGGAACTTTCTTAGAGATGGGGCTGGTTCAGGTTCTCACTTGACAGTGGGTATTACCTACAGTGTATACCTAGAAAGGCCCAGCCCTCCCAGCACCCAGGACAAGTAAGGCCTACTCAGGCTTCCTGAAGAGGACCCTCCCCTAGAGGGAAGGTACAACCCATCCGGGTGCTTGGTCTCTGAAATCCTGCTCCCTCGCCACCTACCCCACCCTTCCTCCTCCTCATTCTCCTCCTCTTCCCCCACCCCCATCCTTTTGCCAGCTGCAGCCTGGGCACAGCACCAAGACAAACGCTGCTTCACTGTCCACCCTCCTGGGCCAACCCTCCAGGGGTGGAGTAGGGTAGTTCTTAAAGGGCCCAGCACAACAACCCTGGAAGGGGTCTCCAGGAACGACAGGGAAAGGGGTGGAAGGTCCATGCTAGTGTGGAGGGAGACGCCTGTTTGGGGAGGAAGAAGCACTCCAGCCCCATCAGATAGGACCAGATACCCACCTTTGCTTCACATTTTCTGTGTGTGGCCACCTTGCAGACTAGAGAGAGGAAAGGGAGGAGAGGGTAAGTTAACAGAAGCCTATGGGGGCAGTAAAAGGGGGTGTCCTCTACCTCCTCAGGCCCTGAAAGCCAACCCTGGAGCTCTAGGACCCACCCGGTACTGGACTGCTGGAACTGGGGAGCAGGGCCGGGTAGGGAGCCAGAGGCTATGCCCTAGTATGAAAGCAGGTGAGGAGGGAGAGGAAGGAAAGCCCCTTGTCACAGGTCATGAGAAGGTGATGGAGAGTCATGATTCTTGGGCTATGGCAAGGTGGATGTTGTGGGGAGGGAGGGCTGCTGGAAGGTGCCTGGTGGGGAGTACCAGGTATCAGCTTTGGCCTTGTGAGCTGGCCTGCTTTTGGAGCCATGCAACACGGTGGTGCTGAGTCACAGGGCAGAGCACCTCACCTCGGCATGAGACGCCGGTCCCATCGATGGTCACCTTACACACTGCACACACTGGAGCTTTCTTCCGGAAAACCTTCTCTCGGAAGCTGTGTGGTTCTGTTTTTCTGGGCTGTAGGTGGAGGGATAAACACCGAGAGGTATGAGTTCCCAGTGGCCCCATTTCCAGGACTGGGCAGGAACCTTGCCTTAGAACTGGGCTGCTTTCCTCTTCTCCATCCTAAAACCTCCAAACTCTAGAACATACTTGGCCGCAGCTGTTTCAGGGTAGTCATGGGGCCTGTCCTCTACAGGGCTTGGAATGTGACCCTTTGCGTCACCTTGGCTGGGTCAGCTCCTCCCTAAGGATCACTTAGGCCACTCACGTGGCCCTGCTATGTGATGCCCTTGTCACTGTCACCTCAAATGTGAGGGCTTTCCTCCTGGTGGAGTGGGGTAAGCGGCTTTCCTCCTGGTGGAGTGGGGTAAGCTCTGACTCTTCTATCTTGCCCTCTCCAAATGATGCCTGTGTGTAGTGAGCTGGCAGTCCAGGCACACAGGCAACATCACCTAATACCCAGACTGGCCTGAGCCAGTCCTGAGACCCTGGCTCCCAAAGTTCCATGCTCCAGGCAGCTGACATATCTCCCTCCCCCATGGCCAGAACAACATGTTTACTCTTTGTGCATTGAGGCGCAGGCAGGCAGCAGTTGGATAAGAAGGGGGTGGCAATGTTGGAGGGAGGAATGACAGTGGGGACAGAAGTGTAGCTGTCTCGCTGCCTCTGCATGTCTTGAGCTCCTCCCCTGAGGTTCCATTAAGATTCAAGCATTGAATGACAGAGGTGGCCAGGTGCCTTTTGTATTCCCTGCCCACCCAGAGGTACAGTGAGGCCAGAGGCTAGGTGGCCTTGTGTTGCCCAGGTCTATCTTAGTCCCCTCCCACTGAAGAGTCCCAATGTGATTTCCATCCTTCCCACCCCCATTCACCACTCCAAAATTTCCCTCCTGACTGCCTCTCTAGGACCCACTTCTCTAGGTTTAAGCTCCTGCTGCTCTCCTCCCCTCTCTGGATCTGCCCATCATAGGGTCAATTTATGTTCTCAGAGCTGTTCTGAAGGCAGAGAGAGGAAAACGGAGGGGAGGATGATGACAGGAGCATTTCTGGTCCCTTGACTGTTCTTAAAACACTTCTGATCTGGAGATGGGACCCACCAGGTCACTTGAGTGCACTTGGTGATAATGACCTCCCATTTAGAGTGCCTGGAGCCCTGGCCCCTTCCTGCCTTTTCTTGCCTTCTTCCCATTCTTTTTCCCTCAAGCTTCCCCAGTGGGCAGTTAGGACAGCCTGAGCTCTGGGCCCTGCCCCAGGGCTCCTGAACTGTGCTTGTTATAGTCCTATGGTGAAATGGACCTGGAGCTCAAAAAGTTGAAGGGACAAGAACCCCCAGGGCTAGCTGAGGCTCCAGCCAGGAGATGGGTAGAGAAGTCAAAACAGATAGCAGGGTTCACTCTTCAGAACATCTGCTACTCACACTGCCATCCCAGCCACCCCAGGGGATGCTGAGCCAGGGAAAGGGGCAGGCAGAAGAGGCTGAGTGGGAAGAAGGACCAGACTGCCTGGCCTCTCCCCCTTGCCCACACCTCCACCCTGCCCCACCTTTGCCCAACTAGTGGGCACTCCTACCCTGCTGTTGGCCCGGCTGCTGTCCCTCCTCCCCAGAGCTCTGAGCAACCTTTCCACCGGGCCGCTGGACTTCATGGTGTCTGGCTGTCTGGGCTCTTGGCTGTGGGGCCTGAACAATGCTGGGGCCTGGCCTGGGGCTTCCTGGAAGCAGCCTGGCGGAGGCAGCAGCTTCCCTTGGGCGGAGGGGAGGCTGTCTGGTTGGTGTGAGGAGAAGCCTGGCCCTGGAAGTGGAGGGAAGTGCAGGCGGGAAGGGGGCAGGTCGCTGCTCCAGGAAGTGGTGCGGGGAGAGGATGTGGGGGAGGCCAGGAGATCAGATTCCCAGGATCTACCCTGCTGGGAGTGTCAGCCTAGATCTTTGGCTCCCTCTTCCCCTCTAGAGGGGTCTCCAGTGAGGTGGTCCACTCTATGCTAGGGTCTGCAGGGATCTGTGGCCCTGAGATCTAGTCCTGGAATTGGCCCTTAGTGGGGCAGGGGGGTGGGAATTCAGGTCTCAGGGCAGGGCTCTAGGGCTAGTGGGGAACACTGTGTCCCCAGCCAGTCTCTAGCCTGAAGTCTCATAGTCTCCCTTGGGACTTCCCATAAGGGAGGGTGTGGAGCTGGGAACCATTACCAGTACCCCTGGTAGCTCTGGACTTAGGATCATTTTTTTGTTTCTTTGGAGACAGGGTCTCCCTGTAGCTGCAGCTGGCCTGGATCTCAGAGCTCTGTCTGCTCCTGCCTCCGGAATGCTGGGATTAAAGGCTACCATGCCCTGAAGGACTCAGGAATCTTGAAGTGAGGGAAAGTGGGAATGAGGGCCAGGTTCCTTGTCAAGTGGGGAAGGGATCATGTACTGCCCCTCTCAAGGTCAAATTTCCAGCCATAAGGCCTAACTGCCCACAGGCAACCCAAGGCACTTTGAGGCTCCTGAGGACCCTCAGCTTCTCTACTCCAGATAGATACAACCCCAGTCTCTGGCTTAGTCCCCATTCCTGCAATTGAGGTGTTGCCCCAGACCCTAGGCCCCTACACCTGGGCCCCCCAACTCAAGCCTGAGCACTACCTTCATGGTCCTTCTGGGCCTGGCTCTCCTTCCTCTGGCTGTCCCCAGCCTGAGGACTGGACAGGAGGCCCCCTCCTAACACACACTCCACCCCTGAGAAGGGCCTCCTGCTTCCCTCCTGGGAACAGGGCCAACTTCCTGTCCCAGAAGTCAAGGGAAGGAGGTAGATAGGGACTTGGAAAAGGGGAAATAATCTTCCTAAAACACAAGGGTCAATGGCCTGGGGGTCCTCAGTCCTAACCCTGGACAGAAGTCCTTTGGAATGCTGTAGCTCTAGCTGTCACTTGAAAGAATGTACAACCCTGCCCTCCTCATTTGCATGGTATTTACTGAATGTCCTAGGGCTCATGCAACTTCCTCCAGCCCTGGCTTCTCCCACTGGGTCCCTTCAAACTCCCTCCTCTGCCTTATGCCCATCCTGATGAAGGGCTGATATAATCCTTCATTCTGGACCAAGCCCCACTTTGGGAGGACACTTGGGACACTTTGGAAAACCTGGATTGGAAGTAGTCTGAGGCCTCTCCCTGGAAGCTCCAGGTCTCTAGGCTATAAAGGCAGTTTCCTGGGTACCTTGGCCACAAGATGGCACCTGAGTAGCAAGGCTTGGGCTCCCATTCTGTAACTGGAGAGGGGCACTGGCTTTGTAATCCCCCAGCCCTGGCTGTGTCCCAGGACATTGCAGTGGGCAACTGGGCCTGGCCTGATTCAGCACCCAGCCACACTGGAGGAGATGGGTCACTGTGGTGGCTGAGGGTGGCTTCCCCCACCCAGTTTCTTCCCCTGCTCCTATGGCACAAGGCTCCACTTCTGCCTGGCCTGAGACTGAAAGTCTCCTCCTTTGGAACAGGCCCTCAGACAGCTTCTGATCTCACTGGTCTTACACTGCCCACCCAGACCCAGCAAGAAGTGTCCATGGAGTGCTCATTCACTAAGTACAGTGCTGGCTGTGTCTTTGAGTCTCTCTCCACGGTGGTGAGTAGAGTACCTCTGAAGGGAGATGGCCTGGGAGGTGGGGCAGTTGAAGGCATCATCAGATCTCTTGGATCTTCAGCTCCCCCACCCCCCAACCTGGAATATTCCAGAGCCTTTTACCCTCTCCCCAGCCGGGCCCCCCCTCACTCTGAAACCTTGGGTTTGTTTGGAGAAACCCCTCCACCCACACACACCCCCTTCCTGGAAATAGCTGTGGTTGGATGAGAGGATGGGAGCCTGGCCACGGAGGAGTGAGGCCCTGGGAAGGCGAGGGAAGGGAAGGGAGGTGGAGTGCATGGCTGTGCTCAGACGATCTAGGGGGTCCAGGCAGGGCAGACGTAGGAGCCGTTTGGGAGGGCTGGCGAGTCATCACTGTCCCAGATAGGGTTCAGGAGAGAACACTTGCACGCACTCTGCCAGTCCAGGGCTCTTGGGTACAAAGTAAGCTTGTCGCTCTAGCTGCGTGGTCGGACCATGCAGTGGGATGAACGCCGGAGACTGGGAAGCCGCCGTGGCCCGAGCCAGTGGGACCACGGCAGTGTTCCGCCCCCTGGCTACTTTTCGGATCTCCGACTGCCCCTAACTCACCGCAGCGGGGGGAGGGCGGATACTGGCCTAAGCCCTGGGCTGCAGTCCCCTGCGGCCCTAGACCCTCGGCACCCTGCGCCCCCTGGCGCCCGCCCCCGAGCGGACAGCACCCTGTGACGCAGAGGCCGCCGCCCGCCCTCCCGCCCCTCGTG